TTCAAAATATGCATGGATTAAGAGATATGAGGCCATGAAGTGGAGGGTTCATTACTTTTGAAGCAAGAACACTTAGGAAAATGTTCAACAAAATCTGCCTTGTCATGAAGCCAATTTTACAAGCATTTTTCATCATGATCCTAATTGAATCAATAAAAGTGGTCAATGTGAAAGTTGTAAAGGATGTTTCAAGCTTTCTAAAGAGTACAAGAACATAATTTTATCATGCTTGAGCTAGGATATTCGAAGACATGAAGTTGACATCTTCAAGTGGAATTACAAGTCATCTTCATGGCAAATTCATGACCAAACCCTAGCCAAACCTACATAATCTTGATTTGCAGGTTATTTTACTTATAAATCATACCATAATGTTCAGAAGAAACATCTAAACCTCAGGAAAAGCATGGCTATTCCCCTTAGTTCACTCCACCTTTTCATCATGACCAAAGGACACAATTTGTGCAAAATGGAACCAATATCCCAAACCAGAGTTTCTTTTAAATTAAACCAAACTTATGCAAGTTACTTGAGACCTCTATAAATAGAGGATCACACTTGACACATTACACAACACTTGAAGAAGCATACACACCAGAATTTGCAAAGAAACCTTAATTGTGTCAAAAACCTCCATTTTCACAAACCTGTCCAAAACATTCCATAGCAAAAAAAAACCATCAAATACCCATCCACACACATCACAAAACACATAATAAAGTTTTCTAAACCACCATCTTCATCAAAAACCCTTAGAATAAAAAAGTCAACCTTCAACACTCATTCTGTTGACTTTTTGCATAAAATACCTCAACTTTTCATATAATCTTTTTCCAACCCAACCAAGCCTTCAAACATCATACATAAATATTTCTTGAACTGTTCCAAGTGCCATTTCACAATTGTAGCATCATTTCCTTGAAGATCAAGTTCACACTTTTAACCTTGGCAAGAGGTTTCGAGTTGACTTGTTGAAGTTGTTTCAATACAAAGTGAGCATTCCAAAAGCATCAAGGGAGGTCATAGAAGCTTCTTGGATCATCATATACCTTTTGTAATCAGTTGAATAGGGCATTGGACCTTGCTCCAATAGGTAAGTGCATCCTCATTTGGAACTATGTGATTTTGATCTCATTTGCATACATTTGAATTACCAACTTGTTTGTCATCATGTAGACATCATAAACCTTATGCCAAATGATCCTGATTATGTCCATACACAATTTCATTTTGAATTTTTTTATCTTAGGGTTTATTCTGGTTCATGCCATATTGTTTGAAATGTGTTGAGATTCAATGAAATTAACTAACACCATCGTGTTCCTCATGAAAAACCACACAACTTTCATTTTTATATTTTGGCATTTCATTGAGTTTTGAGCAAGTTGACATTTGTGGAAGTTTGAAAATGGTGTTTGAAACCCTCTGGCATGCCTGCGTTGACTCATAGCTCCTATAGGTCGACGCACACTGAAATGAAAATGGTTGAGGATTCTCTACCGTGTATGCGTCGATGCATGGCTCCTGTATAGGTCGGCGCATGAACTTCTTTTATGTGCAATTTTGCATTCTGTCTTGCCCAGGTCAATTCGCAGCTCCTATAGGTCGACCTCTCGCGCATGTTCACTTATTACTAAGTGTTTCTTTCACAAACTTCCATTTGTTAAGCATATTTCTTGTCTTGTGTTTATCCATGAGATGTTATCTTGTGATATTATGTGAATCTTTGTTATGTCTTGTGCATGCTCACCATGTTTACACTCATGTTAATGTTTTGTTCATCATGCTTTAATGCTTAAAATCATATTGATGTTTTGTTCATCATTTTTATCCTCAATGAATGTTTATTCAATCATTGTTATGCAATTCCAAGGGAATGGTTTGTTGTTGACATTTTGTTATTTGCATTTGCATCTTTACATATTCTTGTATATATCTTTCTTGTAATCCTAGAACTTGCTATCCCTTAGGATTACCTTTCAAATTAGACATTTTCAATTATGGTTTCTCCTTTTACAACTCAAAACCACTTTCATATAAAACCTTGACCCTTGGTCATTGATCTTTTCAAACTTTTTCTTAATCAAATGCTTTAAAACACTTTAAGCATATTCAAACTTCTTTCAAAAGACTAAAAAACACAAACTCAATTCTAATATTTTTCCACTTTGCCTTTTCAATTTAAAACCTTTTCAAATAGATTAGACATGATTCATCTATGTAGTTGAGATATAAATCTCCTACCCTATAACATTGTTGAGAAATAACTTGATTCTTTTCCACTTGAGAGAGGTATGCAGCATACTTGTTGATTCTATATCCAAGTTAGAAGCCCTTCTCTCAGTGTGAAGCAAAGATCCCTCTTCCACACGTTTATGGTGGTTTAGATGTGTATTCTCCCTTGGATGACTTGTGTTCTCTTTAATTAAAATCCACCATAACAAACACTTTTCAATTTCTACCCCAAACTATGAGCTTTTAATCCTTCATTGGTACGTAGGCACAAGACTTTGTGTCTTGGCAAACAAAAAAATAATAAAAAAGATTTCTTTTCTCATCTCCCCAATCAAACCCAATTAGCAAACAAATTTATAACACATATTCAACAAGAGGTTCCTATAGAGTACTATAGATACTTAGGGTGCTAATACCTTCCCTTAGTATAATCAACCCCCGAACCTTAGATTCTCTTTATTGTATTGTTTTGCATTGCATAATTATGGGTTAATATTTCTTTACCCTTTCCCTTGGATAAATTAAAGATCGGTGGTGATATCTATGATTTGTGAATCCTAACTAACTCAACGGTCTCCGATTCTCACCGCAACACTATGGTGATATTTTCTCTCAAGTCATCACATATACTTCTATCAGGGGAATGTTAGCCTTGGTTGTCAATTGAGACATGCATTTAGTGCATATGAATGTGAATACAATATTGCTTAATAGTAATCTAGATGATCAAATTTACATGGAACAATCAGAGAGGTTTAGTGACACTTGACATGTTGTGCTAGTTTGTAAATTAAAGATGTATTTGTATGGTGTAAAGAGACAATGGTACATGCATTTTGATTCATACATGTTTCAGATTGACTATAGAAGGTGTGAGTATGACAATTATGTTAATGTTAGGAGTCTTAATGATGACTCTTTTATTTTCATGGTAGTGTATGTTGATTATATGTTGATTGATGCAAATCTTTACATTACGTAAATAATCTGAAAATCATATAGGGAAAAGAGTTTGACATGAAAGACATATGTGCTGCTAAGAAGATTCTTGATATGGAAATTTTTAGGGATATGGGTGTTAGAAAACTATGTCTCTCTCAGTAAAGCTATGTTTAAAAGGTGCTAGAGAAGTTTAACATGAGTATTTCGAAAGTTGCAAGTACTCCATTAATGAATTTCTTTAAGCTCTCATTAGATAAATTTTCAAAGACAGATGCAAAAGCGAAGTATATGTCAAAGGTTCTTTATTCTAGTGTTGTAGAAGCAGAGATTATATCAAAGGTTCTTTATGGCAGTGTTGTTGTTTGTTTAATGTATGTTATAGTATAATAGATCAGATTTGACATAAGTTGTAAGTCACGTATTTAAGTTTATGTACAAATCGGAAAAAGTTCATTGGAAAGTAGTCGAGTGGATTTTAAAGTACTTAAAGGATACAACAAGTCATGGTATCATGTTTAGCACTGAGCACGGGGATCATTTGGTTGTAAGATATGTTTATTCAGACTATGTTTAAGAGATTGACTTATTTATTGAAAATCACCGCTTCAATCCATAATGACCATGTTAACAACTGAAGCATAATACATGGTAGCATGTGAAGCTGTCAAAAAGTGTCATTTATTTGACAAACAATCAGGTGTATCGTGTCAGGATCAAACATATTGATGTGAGGTTTCATAAGATCAAAGAGTTACTTGCATTTGGACAAATATTACTTAAAATTCTTTACATTTTAGAGAATGCAGCTGATGTGTTGACCCAGCAAGTCATCAATGACAAATTCAAGCATTGCTTGAACTTGTTACATGTTTTTCAATGTTAAACAATGTTAAATAGAAGGTGTACATGAAATCTTCATAGAAGTTTGATATTTGTCAAGGTGAAGATATTTGATTATGGCTCATTAATATGAAGAGAAATACAATATGTGAAAATTTCAAATGGGTCTCAGACCAAACTTCTTGTTGCGGATAAGTGACCGAAAGTTGTGAGGGCAGTATCTCTCACAATACAATTCATAGATAATTCATAGATATTACTGTAAACTGGACCATAGTATTATATGTATTACTTCTAACATTATAACAGTTAGATAAAGATAAAGGAAACTATAGTTTATAAAAAGGATCAATGGTATTTGTTGCTTTTTCTTTTCTTTTCTCATTAATCTTTTATAACAGTGGTTGTTCATAGAGTACTTCCAAAGTAGAAGTGATAAATTAGGAAGAAAAAAAGTTTAATCTTTTTTAAGAAATTGAAATGCACGATTTTTAAGACAATTTTTATTTATGAAATTCCTTAGTGCATGTATGCTTGCACACAATGTTTTCAATCGCCTCCTCTATTTAGTTGTAGCCTATAACTGTCAAAACAATGTACCTGGATATGTTTAGCGCATGTGCAAACGTGTATACACAGTTGTGAACAGTTACTTCCAACTTTTCACTATACATTATTAGGATAGTGTCAAAAAATATAAGAGAACACAATATCTTGCGTTATCAAAGCAAGAGTTGTCATTTAAGTGATCAAAATCATCTTGAGCAGTAGTTGAAATCGGTGGTTTTACTTACTGTTCAATTTATTCCCCATAGATTTTTATTGTGTTAAAATTCTGCAACTTTATTTGCTGTGAACATTACTATGAAAATTGATTAAAATCCTATATCCAATTCTAAACTAGCAGAATTTTTTATTATTAATAACAATTTATTATTTTTATACATCGAATGAACATGATCTGCTTAAACTAATCTATATTCTCAGCTCTCCTTTTGCCTTTCTGTTTCTGCTGTGCTCCCAAATCCCATGTTTGATCTCGATTCTTCTCTCCGCTTCAATATAATCGGATACCTCTTCTGCGTCCTAGTAGTTGGGAAAAACACCAACTTATCTTTTTCAGCAGGAACCCAACTGTCATTGAATTGAGAACCAAACATTAGTACCGATTGATGTTGATGAAATTAGTCTAACATAACATGTACTCATTGATAACAAGCAAAATGTTTGTACCTGAAGCGAGTGACAAAGCGGTGAAGGAAGACAGAAAGAACAACTCTGGCAAGTTCATAGCCAGGGCACAATCTTGGCCCTCCTCCAAATGGTGTAAATACACTCCCAGGGGTTGCTACAGCTTCTGAGTTGTTATTACTCTGATCAATTATGATCATGAGTTCTTATAAGCAACTGAAGAATGTGATTCAACGTAACATAATAAAAAGTGTTTGATGATTTACCTGCCATCTCCATGGACTGAAGGTGCGCGCATCTTTGAAATATTCAGGATTCAAATGCACAGCGCGAAACGATGCAATCACCGTCCATCCCTTAGGAATAGTGTAACCTATTATTGCAATGTGAAGCATTGTAAATTGACATGTTCTTAGTGTCTTTGTCTATTAGTACTACATACGATATGATATACATTTTTGTTTTCGTGTATTACCTTTTATATCGATGTCTGTTGTTGTTCTCCTAAATATCGCACCGATTATGTTTGCCACCCTTAAGGTCTCATTCACAACCTGTGTAGCACAATCGATTAAAAAAATGAAAAATTGATTGTACACGTGTATACAGAGAGGATCAGGGCCATCTTTGAGGGTGTGCAAGGCGCGCTACCGCACATGGCTCAAAATTTGTCACGGTTAAACCATAGTTAAATAAGGTCTAGTAAAATGTTTGTCAATGTTAAAATATAGTTAAATAAGAGTTCTATTTACTTTGTCATGATTACAATGCGACTAATCTGCACACGGTCTCCGAAAAATAGAGACGGTTGTGAAGAAGATTGAGTATATACTTACACATTGAGAAAATGTCATTGATTTATAATCTGTCCATTCAAGTGCTGCCCCTGGCTCACTCCTAGCTCTGATTTGTTCATGTTCTTCCTGCCAGATAACACAATTCAAGCCTCAAATAATGTTAAAACTCTTGTGCCACCAAGAACAATTATACTAGTTTTAGAAATATTATGATGTTTGAGAGTACACTATAATATGATCCTAGGAGAATAACTTTGCAGCAGAATAAGTTTTGACAGACCAAGTACTCCTCCTACTTTCTGCAAAGTGGCCTGATAAGGTTGCAGGGTATTTTTGTCTTTTGAAGACACGGACAAACAATCTGGTCAAAAGACCAGACACTAAGCGTGCGGTATGGATGTAATAATTTCGACCACTGTCTCTCCTATAATATTTTCTTGTGTGTATATGCATAATGCAAGTGTACGAGTACTATTCTACCATGTTTCCACATGCGGATACAATTAATGTTTTATTTACAGTCCCAAAAAGTCTCCATATTCATTTTGTCAAAAAATCTATGACTCTGAGCAAGAATAGTGAATTACTCCAAAAAATGGAGTGACCACTGAAATGATGAAGATCACCGTCTCAAAAGATTCCACCCGTGGCTGCTGTTAAGTCAAGCCAATGCATGTTTTTCATGTCTTTTATTACAAGAATCATATAGCTTCCAGAAGTAACTTAACTTAATTTTTTAAATAATTTTATAATGAATTGATAGTTAATATACAATATATAATAATTTTATATATGTATTTATAATCTTCTAACTTTTTAAATAGAGTCTTATAAAATATTTGTCATAATTAGATTGTGATCAAATAGAATTTCTATTTACTTTACTATGATTAAACTGAAGTTAATCTACATATAACCTGCGACTATTTGAGATGACTCTGATATGATGTTATAATAAGATAAGAAAAATTAGGATGGAAAGAAAGCATCACCACATGTTGAAGTGGAATGTGGATCAGATGGTGGGGTTTCTAACAACCACAACCATATGATCTTACTAGTCTAAACAACAATTAAATCATTTCATCATCAAAATTAGTATATAAACCAAAATACAAAACAAGACAAAAGAACAAAGTTTTCTTACAAAGAAAAGTAAACAAAATGCACGTGTAATTTTGTACCATAGCTGCAAGTTCCTTAAAGAACTTGACTTAAAGAACTTCACAAGAAGCCGCCTAATTTGATTCTTATGTCTTTGGTTAGCCAAATATTGTGGTAGTAGTTAATTACGTACCTTGAGCTGTGCCAAAGCCAAAGGAGTCTCATTGAGAAACTTGATAGCAAGAGTCATTATAGTAGAAGTAGTTTCGTAACCGGCTACAAGCAAAGCCAACATAAAATCAACAATTTCCTCGTCCGAGAATTGTTGACCTGATGCCAACAATGCTCCAAGCATGTCATTCTTTTTCTCTTCCTTTGTCTCAAACTCTTCTCTCCTATTCCTCACAACTACTGTCAGTGCCTCTGCCACCTTCGTTCTTGCCTTGATTGCTCTGCGGTAGGTGGGAGACAGAAGAGGAAAAGGAATAGTGAAAAAGCCTTCAATTACAAGCATGTACTCTTTCCTTAAACTCTCTGTCCATTCATCTGGATCAAAACTCATCAACTGTTTCACTGTCAACTCAAATGTTATCTGCAAAAAACAAATACTCGTCATTTTTACTATACCATACATGTATTCAAAAAAAAAAAGAAAAAAAAAATCACTTTTTTAATTGCATGCTATAACTCCCTATGATGATGACCCAAAAGTTTTATATTCAGAATGATTATTCTCCCTTGTAGAAGGAAAATCTTTTCAGTTAAGTTAACGTGATGCAAGGATTATGGACACATTGTATTGTACCCAACCATGGAATCTGACTCATCATTTACATCAACATCACAATCACTCACATGCCAACACATTTTAATAAATTAATTTTTTAAACTTTCACTAAAAAAATTCATATATTCAAAATTAAATCACAAAAGTATAAAATTAACTTATAGAACTAAAAAGTTAAAATTAAAGATCAAGATAATAAAATAATGAATAAATAACAGAGAAAGTTGGCCATGGTCCACAATCTGCCCACCCCACACAACTGGCCCATATGAAATGATGATGCCAAGTGATGAACTCAACTAGACTCTACTAACTCAAATCCGAGTTAACTCACTAGACATATGCTTATTTATTATTCAATCCATTTTAAAATGACTTTAATATATTACAATTTTATTAAATTAGTTTATTAGTTTTATTAATGCACTAGAAGTAGTGTAAAGAATAATTAAAAACTTAACGATCATTCTTATTTTGAAAAATGAAAATGATAATCATTTAAAAAAATTATTTACTAAAACCAGTCTTTTTGACACGGAGTGAGTTATGCATAGTTTGATAATTTAGGAAAGTTAACAAAATTTGATTTAATTTTATATTTCAATTTCAAGCAAACTAAGTAATTGAGTGAAATTAAATATAAATATGAATATTATTAAATATTATTAACTAACTAACCTTCTTAGCTTCTTCCATGAGAAGAACCCGGTCGGACCAAGAATCCATGTTGAGCCGGATGAGCCGGTCTATATCATAAAGAAGATGATCTTTAATGATGGACGAATTAGCGAAGCTCATGGTGAGAGAATGCATTTTCTTGTGAAGAGAGCCTTTCATGAGAAGCAGCGAGTGTTTTCCGAGAAGGTTCGATATTGAACCGGGGTAGCTACATTCGAAAAGCTTATCGTTGGTAAGAATGAACCGGTTCGTTTCCGGATCAGTCGAGAAAACTGTCGGTTCACCAAAAACATGGCTAGTGAAGACTGAACCGTACCGGCTGACTCGCCTGTCGAGGAAAGGCTCTGGATTGTCAGTCTTGTATGCGGATATCATCTGTAAGGTTTCTCCGATGAACGGTAAACCGAGACTCCCCGGCGGTAGCCGGAGTCTACCGTAACGGAGTTTTCTAAGAAGGAAGAGAAAGACAAAGAAGATGAAGAACAAGAGTAAATACGCCATTGAATTGGATAATACTGAGAAATACTAATAATATTTTTATTTATGTATGTATTTGTATTTATATGTAATATATAAAATGGAAAGTGATAAATAAACTTATATGAATAAGAAGAATGTGAATTGTGAAAGAAGGAGCATTAATGAGGGAGAAGGGGCACACGAGTGGCCTTCTGAAGAAATAAATGTTTGGGATATTTTGGAATCTGTTACTATTTTTTCTTTTCTTCTCTCTCTCAAATTTACTTCTTTTTTTCTAAAACAAAATGTTATGCTACAAAACTTTTTAGTGAAAGTATGGGAAAGTATCTCTGTTTTATGGTAATAATTTTATTTTTTAAAACCTGTCAACGGAAATTAAGAGAATATTTATAATTGGAAAAATAAAATAAGTATAAACATTATTTATATCTAAAGCTGGTCCAATTGAATCATTGACTTATAAACTTAATTAATAAATTTCTTTTTCTACTATAACCAAATATAAAATATAAAAGAAAAAAAATCAGGAAATATATGCATATCAGGCAAAAAAATTTATACTTAGATATAAATCTATTAAAGAAAGTAAACCAAATAAAAAGTTGCAATGCATAACACTTGTGAAGAGAAATTTCTATAATAATAAGAGAAATGGTATTTTTATACCCGATGACACATTTGTAGATCAAAAAAGAAAAAAATTCTATTCTTAAAGTATAATAAAAAAAGACAAGTTATTTATTTAAATGGATATTTATTTATTTATTTTAAATCTTACAATAATAAATATATTTTTTAAAATATAAAATTTATTATTATTATTAATTTAATTAATTAATTTTATAATTTTATTAACCAACATTTTATATTTTATTAACCAACCTTATTTTATTATTAAAAATTATTTTTAATATCTGGATGTTCATTAACCAACTTCATCATTTCATTAATCAATTTTTTCCTTTTTATTAATCAACTTTATTTTACTATTAGAAATTATTTTTAAAATTATGGACGCTTATTAATCAACTTTATCACTTCATTAACCAACTTTTTTCTTTTCATTAACCAACTTTAATTTACTATTAAAAATTATTTTTAAAATTTTGGACGTTTATTAACCAATTTCATCATTTCATTAACCCACTTTTTACATTTAATTAACCAATTTTATTTTTCTACGTAAAACTATTGTTCGCAGAGGCACTGTTAACATATTGTTCACGCACTAATCATCACATTACATTATTCATAAATATATTTGTTTATGATGGACAGTGTAAATATTTGATGTCAAATAGGTGTAGAAACATTATTGTTGTAACAATAATGATAGTCAAAGTTTTATTAATATTATTTTTATTTTTATTTTTCTTTAGTTTATTTTTTTTTCCAACTAGATAAATTGTAAATAAATTATGACATGAAGGACCATTTGTTTTGCTTTTTTAAAATAATTTTTATAATGTTACAGATTTTTGCTTAAATTTTTTTAAGGAAATGTTTTATAAAAATTTAAAATGAAAATTTTGCGAGAATAATTATTCTTAAAATATTATTTTAGATATTTTATTATTTATTAAATTTTTTCTAATAGAGAATATGATGGGTCCTGTAACACCCTTCTTAACCCCACGGAATTTATATACATAGTCAGAGTAAATCATCATGCATTCACAAAAGAGTGTCACATATAACTTTAAAAACATCAACAACCACCTGTCATGCTCATTAACATTTTAATAAATAATCTTGCTTTTCAAAGTTTCACTTTGCATGTAGCAGCAGATTCATTTTATATCATAATTCTCTTAACAGAATATTCATGTTCATCACATAATTCAACATTACTTAGGCACCAAGGCCAACATAATAATATTCCAATGAATATAAAAACATAGCGTAGAGTATATAATGTATCTCTAAGACATAAACCAAGCAATTTCAGTGTTACATGATCAGAGCACGACTCGACCCAACATAACTAAAATACTAAATAGCTACACCAACAGCGACCACGCAACTACGAGCAACTCTACTCTTGATACCTGCACGATATCAGATAGGACACCATTCCAGCAGAAGGGTGAGAAATATTATCATAATAACAATACATATAATCATATATATATTTACAATCCTAGAATACACATGAACTACATTTTCACCACGAGTCATCCATATACATCACAATGTATATATAAATATATGGATAATCACCAAGCACATTCATCATGCATACATTCACAATTCTCAGTTCAACAATTCATACACATATGCATACTTTCATACAACAATTATACCTATGCCATGTGTCTCAATGCAACTCATGCCATGTGGTACCAACACTTGTTATTATTTTTTGATTTTTACATTTAAACCGGGTCCATCCTCTAGACCAATAACAAACAAAAGCCCGTCCTCTAAGCTTTCAAACCCCTCTCTAGGTTTGAGACAAGTCACTAGTCTCCACGAAACTAGCAAGCATTGCCTCTTGACAACAAATGATGCATATGCAATCAATGAACAAATGCACTTAAGACCGTCCTCACATCTTAATCTCATGCATTCTCAAATAATTCATCACACAAGAATTATAACATGATTGCACACACAACATATTTCATAATAATCAAAGTATTCATACTTTCAACACCATCATTACATTTATCAAGCAATGCACAAGAATACACATTCATGATGCTTCACATACAATCGCATACAATCAATATGCATTCACAATATCGCGCCAAACGACAACGAACTCCATCACAATCATCATGCACTTTTAATCAATTTAAACAATGCATATATTTGCCAAAAAGGTCACATTCACAATCGATTCCACAATCTAGGATTCACGCCATACGGTTACCCACAATACATCATCCAACAACACACAAGCTATGCATTGAAGAATCAAAGCATCAACATTGGATGGAAACAACAAAAATAAAATATGTTGTCACGCTCGCCACCTTGCTCACCTAGCGAGGCCCTAGCAAACCATCGCTACTTGCTTCGCCTAGCGATCACGCTAGCGAAGGCTGATTCTAGCTAGTGGAAGTGTTCGCTACACAGCTCGCTTAGCGAACCCTCACTACCTCACTCGCCTCCAGCGAAATTGAATCATTTGGTTCTTCTCAAATCTGGGACCATTCGCTACTGGCTCGCTAGCAGCTCGCCTAGCGAACCACTCGCTAGCTCGCTCGCTAGCTGCTCACCTAGCGTGACCTGCGATACTTCAAAACCCCAAATGTCCAAAAATCATCAGAAGCTCACAAATCACCCGATTTTTACCAAACCAGTTCCTGTAGTCTTAGCCTAACATTCCTCGACTAAACTACACAACTTATTTTAGATTCTAACCGTAAAAACATCGATTTCTATCGATTAAACCATTTCTGACCTAGAATGGAAAATGTAGAAAAATACCCAAACAATCCAAACAAGACATACATTATTACATACATTGATAAGATAATAAGATTTCACACCTTTACCCGATTAAATCGATTCCTAAAGGTTGTGTCGCTTGCGCGAAAATAAGGTGCCGGCATGACAGAAGAGTCGCCACCTTTCGTTATTTATCCCTCAGAGCGGGAAAGGAAACGATCGGAAAAACCTGACGAAAAAAGGTAAGACAAGGTCGTCGCAACCATTGTCTGGGTTCGGGAGTCGGTTACGCAAGGGGAAGGTATTAGCACCCCTCACGTCCGTCGTACTCGACGGGATCCTAGCTTGTTTGTTTACTTGGACGGGTTGGTTATAATCTATCTACCTATCAAGGCTGGCTGAAAAAGAAAAGAAAAATGACTCGGCAAAGCGTCGCACTTTATGCCTACGTATTCTCATCAGAGAATGAGAAATCAGAGTCAACGTAGTTCGGCTAACTACGGGGGAAGATGGGGGAAGGTTGCTCGCTAGGATATCGCATCCTATGCCTACGTACTTCCACACAGCATGGAAGATCAGAGCAAACGTAGTTCGGGAAGCTACGGCTTATCTCCTGAAAGAAGTGTTTTTTATTGTGTTTGCGATCTCAACTGCACTAGAGACTATGACCTGAGAGGGAATGCGTCCTTTCTCAGATAGCTTAAGGCTCGTAACGTACGAAATAAATCATTCATGATTACTGTATTTTAAACTGCTTCGAGATGAGAAGAGAACAGGCCCAACTAGGAGGGAGACTATCAAGTCCTACTGTTGTCATGCCATGGATTCATCCTATGGTTGAGGTTTGAACAGGGAACTCCTAGATGTTGTCATGCATAGGTTTCAACCTAAAAGTCTATCATCAAGTCCTTATCAAAGGAAATGAGAGTCCTAAGGGATCATGTCAATGATACACCAAAACAGACAAAAGCATCAGCTTTAACAGTAAAATGCATGCAATGCAAGTGAGGGAGGAAATGTGTGTGGGGCTTCAGCCTCCACAAGCTCGTCTCGACCTCAAGCCAGTCATGAAATAACAGTAATCATACTGAAAATAAACCACATGCTATCAAGCAATATACAGATAAAAGAAATGAAGTGCCATCAGGCAAACAAAACATGCTTGAGAAAGAATCATCTATCTCTACTCTCTAATCCTAAAACAGAACTCTAATCAGAAGAAAGCAAAGCCCTAAAGCAAAACCCTAAACAAGAGAAAACCATCCCAGTCTTCAAGCTTCAGAACAAGCTTACCAAAGAAAGGGAGCTAAGTAAGCAGACTCATAGTGTCTTCCTCAGGAAAGCACTAGGAGGTGTATACTCAGGAGTCATATCCTACGTGGCTCAACCACTGTGATCAGTTTACATTCCTCTTCAGGAGAAATTAAACTCACAAGCAGGCTCCAACATCACTGGATACTTAGGAAATCCTATCTGAACTAGTGGAACTAAATGAATAGACCCATAGGACCTTCCTCAGGAAAGTACTAGGAGGCTTCCACTTAGGAGTTGTATCCTATGTGGCTCAACAACTGTGATCAGTTTACATTCCTCCTCAGGAGAAATTAAACTCACAAGTTGGCTCC